GGAGAGAAGGGGGACTTACCTGAAAACCTTAAGGCCCTAAGCAAACATTCAGGGTCAAGGCGCCTACACCTTGTGTAGACAACATACCGCCACAAACAGCTGGCTATCGTGCAAAGATAAGGCGGCATCGGCGAGACAGCTTCCTTGCGGCTTTCACTGCCACGCGTCATAATCAGCCATTACCCTGCAGATAACTCAGCACCAAGCACACTTCAAACAGACAATCCGATTAAGAGACGGCAGCAGACGCGCCACTGGTGTCGGTTGGGAGCCATGTCCTGTAAAGTCTCGAGCCAAGCACAAGGTGAGTCACGTGGACTCCAACCCGGAAGGTGAGACAGACCAACAGCACCCAGTTTGGTCGTCAGTGACTTCATTTCCCGCTGCCAAGTCAACTTCTGTCCACTTCGAGCCTTCCGCCATCCTACATCTGGGAGACTGAACAAGGCCCTCCTAGGTAAGCGGTGACCAGGCATACGTAGCACGTGCCCGAGCCAACGTAACCTATTCAGTGCTATCTGTTGTTCTAGGGAGCTAGCATGATCATCACCACCTAGTACTCGCCTACACACATCATCGTTGCAGACACGCTGGTGCCATCCGACTCCAGCAATGCTTCGCAAACAACGATGATCAAAGACTTGAAGGCGCCTCAGATCTTCAGACCGAAGGGGCCACGTTTCACTACCATAGAGCAGAACGGCCATCACTGTGGCCTTGTATACACGGCCTTTCAGACGGAGGGAAACTCCCTTCCGTCGCCAAAGGTGACGCAGAATCAAGAAGGCAGCTCTAGCCTTTGCAATGCGTGAGCTCACGTCAGTTTCTATGCGCCCATCATTGCTGATGTAGCTGCCAAGATAAGTGAATTGATCAACCACCTCGAGTTCCTCGTTAGCAAGCGTCAAGGGGTCATCAAGTGGCTGGTGGTCCTGCAGCAACACTTTGCACTTTGAAGGTGCGAAGTGCATACCAAATAATGGGACCACTCTGGACAGGCTATTCAGGGTTGATTGTGCCGCATCAACATTGTCGAAAAGTAAGACGATATCGTCCGCATAATCTAGATCAACTAAACGTTCACCAGGCAGCACTTCAACGCCTACAACGTGAGATTCCGCAAGGGAACACTCCATGGTAGAATCCACGACGAAATTGAACAAAAACGGGGAAATCGGGCAACCCTGTCGAACGCCACTTGTGGTCGGAAAGCTATCCGATAAGACACCGTAGACCCAGACGCGGCCTCTAGTGTTCGAGTATAGAGCACGAAGGATGTCCACATATTTCGTGGGAACACCTTTCCGCGCAAGTATTTCGAACAGAATCGATCGATCGACTGAATCGAACGCACTCTTGAAATCGAGGAACACAGCTATTGTCGGTCTGCGGTATGCGTGGCGCTGCTCTAGCACCTGCCGCAAAGTAAATATATGGTCTATACAGCCACGTCCTGGGCGAAAACCGGCCTGCTCTTCTCTACTCCGAGATTCCCGTTCTGCAGTGAGGCGACGAACGATAATCGAGGCCAGTAATTTTGTCACAACTGGCGTTAGGCTAATACCCCTGTGGTTCGCACAGTCTGTGCGACTGCCCTTCTTGTATATTGCCACTACAATCGATTCGCTCCAATTAGCCGTCACACTCTCTTCGTTCCAGATACGTCCGAATGAGGAGGTCAGTGCTTTGCAGAGGACCACACCTCCATCCTTAAATAGTGCAGGTGGTAGGGAATCCGGGCCAGCGGCACGAAAACGATTGAGGGCTGTGATCGCGTTTCGGACCTCGGCCTCCGACGGAGGCTCTAAACTAACCGTCCATGGCTCGTTCTGCATCACCTGAGTAGGAAGAGGTCCGGGAGCAGGGGGCCAGCTGAACTGATGTTCAAAGTGCTCAGCCCAACGAGCCATACGGCGCTCCTTATTGTGTATCAGCGCACCCGCGCTGTCCCTGATTGTCTCACTGACGCATGGTTTTCTCGGAACAGTGGTGCGTATTAGCTGGAAGAGCTTGCGGTAATTGCCTACTGCCCCTGCCTCCTCCATTTCTTGAGCCCGACTGGTCCACCAAGCTTCCTTGTCAGCACGTAGGCTCCGCTTTAGTTCACGCCTAATAGCCCGTCTGGTCACATTGTGTTCAGAACCAGCCGGGAGGTGCCTTCTAGCTTCCAAAAGGTTCACGGACCTCTCGGATATCCAGTGACTGGTGCGATGACGACTGATAGTGCCACAAGCAGATGCTCCTGCGTTGTGCATAGTGGCCGAGATCCTATTCCACTGAAGTTCAGTATCATTAGGACAAGACAGCGAGAGTTCGCTATGCAGTGCTTCTTGATAGGCTTGCCTGACAGAGGGCTGGGACAATTTCTCCGTTGCCAATCGTAGGGGACACTTGGTGCGCCTTCCGGTAAAGTTCATGGAGAAACGACAGCGCACCAAGGCATGGTCAGAGTCGATACAGGTATTCCAGTACGAGCGGCAATCCAGAATGGAACCGCGCCACCTGTAACTTATGGCTATGTGGTCAATTTGGGTCCATCGCTGACCAGCTACAGGTGGACGCCAAGTGGCACTTCGGCGCCCACTGTGTCTAAAAGCAGTGCTAGTAAGAAACAACTGGTGATCCGCACACAGTTGCAGCAGACGCTCGCCGTTGTCAGTCGGTTCGGCGTTAAACCCATCCTTACCACCCAGCTGAGCTTCTGAAGAGCTCAGACGCCCTACTTGTGCGTTCATATCCCCTGCAAGTACTATAATATTTGAACTAGTAGCACTGCGTAGCAGCGTGTTCAGTTCGTGATAGAAAGTGTCCTTGACTGCATTAGAACTGCAGTCCGTGGGAGCATAAGCAGAAATCATGAACAAACAGCGTTTTGTTTTACTTCGCGAGTTCACCTTAGCTGATGTCGTCAAACGGGCTGCACATAAACGGCTGTTCACCGGAATCCAATCAACCAACGATGACTCAGCCTTGGAGCTGAGAATGATACCTACACCAGCTTGACCCGTGAGTGCCGCATCGGCGTCTCCGGATGCGTGCAACCAATAACGAGAGGATAAGCCGGGTGCAGTCAATTCAATAACCCCGTTAGGGTCATTAATCCTAGTTTCGGACACACAACACACATCAATACCCAGTGTGTCCAAGGTGCGTGCGAGTGCAGCCTGCTGACCTGTTTGTCTTAGAGTGCGGACGTTGAATGTCGCCATGGAAACGGGACGGCGTGGCCTTATAAGGAACTTTTGCCGATAGGCGTCCGATAGGTGCTGTGGGATGGTGGCTGCAGATGGTTCTACTCCAGTAGCACTTCGGTTGCTGTCAATTAAGCTGGGAATTATAGAAGGAAGGTTAGTAATGGGGGCCGGGATGGGAGTAAGAGAAAAAGGTGGAAAAGAAAGAAGGGAGGCGCCATCAGTAGCATGTTTTCGCTTATCCGCCCTGCTGTATGCAGCAGATAAGGCGACCCTTGATAATCTGCGCGACGGCCGATGCAGGATGAAGTTTATGTTTGAAGAAAATGTCATGGTTGTATGTGGGCTGGGATACTGCCAGGGCGCCCAGACCTAGACAGGAGAACGATTAGGGTCCTCATCCAAAGCCTTTGGCTCAAAAGCCTGTCCGCAAGGCAGCGGGGTGGCAGTGATTTAGTTTTACAGAAATGGACGCCATCCCATTTCAAACCCCCAACCTGGAGGACCAGGAGACTGAGTTTGTCTGACCTCTCACCATTGACCAACCTGGTAGGATTAGCTCTCAAGATGCTCGGAGGCATCACCTAGTATAGCTCAATGGGTCAACGAGGTACGCAAACCGTCGCACCACGTTAAGGTCCAGTTTAAAAAGAAAGCAGATGCACCACAGGCAGTGGTCTCGCGTCATACGTGGTCAGTTGCTGGTGAACTATATAAGAGGAGACACGGCACACAGGAGATAAAAAAGAAAACCGACAGTTTGTGGAAGGTTTCAGCGCTACGCAGGCACACGATGCCGACGATCGGCTGCCACGCAACCACCGCCAGTTGCGCCTAGGATGGTTATACCGTGACGTCGCTCGCAAATACGCGGATTCGAACCGATGACCATTGGATTATAAGGAAAACATCGTAATTGTTCGGTCACCGGTCGATGTGGAAGGATAAGACACTTTTGTTACCAGTTCCGGGACAGTCTCAGCTCAAAAAACCTCCACTCTACCTAGACTCAATAAGTACCACTACATGAAAGGTGGAGAGCAGTTCCAGGTGATGAGTGTGGTTGAGGGGTACCATGAGAACCTACTTCAGTTTGGCCGCATTCAGCTGTATGTATGTGACTTACGCAAGACCACGCTAGCCGCAGACGAGGTTTGTGGACTATGGGCCGCGTGGCACGTGGGAAGTAGCACACTGGTGAGCAAGAGTGATGCTCTCCCATTGGTAATGACAACCACTGAAACGCCAGTGCTCCACTATAGTTGAAGTTAATGTATAACTTTTAGACTTTAGTACCCCAAAACAGCTCAAGGGAATGCGACGCTCAACCTCTCTCTGGGGTTGTATGTGACAACGGGTAACTGACACGTCTGACAAGAGTGGTATTGATAAACTAGGACTGTTCTACTCGACGTGTTTCATCGCATCACAGAAGTGCGCAACACATCGTAGCAAGTTAGAGTGGGATTGCAACGAAGTAACCGAAACCGAACGTAGTCAACAACCAATAAAGCAACTATTTTAACGTCTTATAGCTACAAATGACTAGTGCAAGTTGCCAAACGTGAAAAGTTTAAGTCCATATGTTTGATGCCCAGTACGAGTAGATTTGCAGTTGTCAAATGGGATATCCAAATAGCAAGCCCTCAAAATGAAATGCGTTGATGTAAAAGACCCCTTGGACAGAAGTGTCAGATACTTGTTTAGAATATAGCTTTAACTCCAAGCATCAATAAAAGTGGAACGAAAAACGAAAAACACATGGCGGATAGCCATATTTGCACTGTGGATTAGTGGACACAAACTTACTTTTCACAGTGGCGATTCGTCAGTGTCAAGGCCTTCAACTTGGGCGCGATCCCGTCAGTTACAATGACAGGAAGAACATTCAATCGGAGCAGATTTAGAGTACGGAAAAATAAATTCCTGAAACAGTGGAAAAGACCAAGTTTATGGTGGCTCTTAAAACGCTGAAACACTAATTTTAGTCAAAGTAAAAACGTTGGTAAAATCTTGCACGACACCTTAAGTATAGTTTCTTCGCAACAGATAGGTTGTACTTGATCGACATGTCCCCACAGACCCAGATGCTGAGATCCACAGCCACCGTCTCTCCGCTCAGTTCAGGCAACGGGCGATACTCCTGAACTGGATCAAGGATATGCCACAATCCTCGTACGCCCATGGCTAAGGAGCAGAGTAAAGGTGCAATATAGAAGGAGATTGTAAAGGTTGAGAGTAATCCTGGTTGCTCTGAGGATACGTGGGATGATACGTGGGGAAATTTTGAAACCTTATCGAAACGATTGAATATGCATTCAGTAGCAATTTTCGCACGGCTTCAGATTCTGATGATAGGTGTAACGCGTAATGGTCCTAGTAGGATCAGAAGTATATCCGATGTGCTGAAAGGAAGGAATACACGATTCCAAGTTACCCCACAACGAATAGTAAAACCCAGTGAGTCGGAATCGAACTCAGTGAGAACGAGAGAAGTGCACGTCACGCGGATCAGACCAAGTGTGCAAGCATATAAACAAAGAATATATCGCAACAGTGAAAAAGAGCTATTAAGTGGTTAAATCAGTTGCAAGGATGTTCTATGAAATACAATCATACTCAATATCAGTAGGACTGGAGGATGATTGGGGGATTTCGCTACATAGGCAAATTGGAAAAGGATTTTCGTAGAGGTCGCGGCATCTGAACGAATAAACAAAGATGAGCGTAAAAAAATAAATAAGATAACCACAAAATGAACGATGCCCAAGTTAACAGCCATCGGTCAGTAGGGCAAATAGTGGTTCGCTTGAGGAACTCCACCGTAGATCTTGGCTAATTAGCCTATCCACAAGCAGTAGGGGTCAAGTCAAGCCAAGGAGTACGATTGCAGACCTGTTGAAAGCTGCTTGAGGCATGACACACACAAGCCTTGAAAATTTAGAACAGTGCACATGTGTTTATGACCGCAGCATATTACGCGTGAGAGTCCATGACTCACAGAGGCTTGCGGTGGCGAGATCCTGACAGATCATCAACCCGTTGTTCCCCATATTGTTTTGTTGACTCATGACTTGGACACCTTGTGGCGACCGCTGGGTGGGAGTTGGGTTACACCCTTCTTCTAGCTAAGAACCAGGACAAACAATCCCGCGTGAGTCGATTCACTTACTCATGGCACTCAACCAACTGCCTTTCGGTTGTATATTTCATCGAAGGTTTTGGTTGAGGACCAAGTTGTTCTGTTAAGGGTGGACACCCTGGCACTACACCATTTTAACCCCAGACTATGAAATACAAAAATACTGATGTCATGCCGCGTCGGCAGTCGCGCAGTGGTAGGGGAGCGAAAAGAGCCCTTATCTGCTGCATAAAGAGGGGTGGATAGGCGAAAAGATGCTACAACTGACACCTCCCTTCTTCTTTTCAGGCAAATACCCTCGCTGTCCCCATTCCGCTTAACCCACTATTTCCTCCGACCCAGGTGATCACGCGTGCGGTTGTCCGTCATCGCAATCTCACGCCTCCGCGTAGAACACTTGACATCATATGCTGGAGCGTGCGCCCACTACTCGACCGGAACATGAGTGAGCGTTCCGAGCGATCCACTGCACTGGTCGCGATGGAAGTGGCGCGCTACGGCATTGGCATTACCGCAACCAGTGAAACACGGCCGCTGACCAACCCAAACTGCAGACGCTGGTGCTGATTACACGTTCTACTGGGTGGGTAACTCCACCACAGCACCACGCGAACATGGGGTGGCATTTGCACCATAAAAGGAATCAGCACTATGCCAATACAAAGTACCGACGCTTCGCTGCCGCGCAACCACCACCGGTCGCATCAGGGCTAAGGATACTGCGAGCGTCACCCCGCTCCTATGCAGGCTCGAACCCGCGCCGGCAGATTACAAGACAAACGTTTTACCATTAAGCTATGGACCCACCACCTAAATGACCTGCTGGTGGCAGAGCCGAATGACAGCCAACGATCAACGACTCCTCGTCTGCGATTTGGAAAAGGTAATTCTGCCACTTTTATTAACATGTAAGGTCAGGGTAAGCTCTTGTAGATTTACCGGCATAGTGGAATCACTTTTTCGAAATTTCGGAATCATGCAATGTGACTTCTGAGTTGGCAATTTCTGGATCATATTTTGTGTGGTATATTCCCACAGATTTTGTAGTTTCGTTTTGCAAATTCGACTTTTTCACGTTACAGTACTTTTGCATCACTTTTCCAAAATGCCGAAGAAAGCAACCTGTGGTTCCTGCTCGAAAAATGTCGAAAACACGCAAAGGCCATTACATGCTTTGGTTGTTGTGCTAGAGTTCATATTTCATGTGTTGGATTACCTGCCGATTCCTATCGTCTTCTGTGTTCCATTCAACATGATTTCATCCAAATGTTGTGCAACAAATGTCGCAGTGTAAGGAAGCCGGAGAAACGTATAACGTCTACCGATGCAGGTCACGACCAAAAACTGTGAACAGTTCTAGACTTACCGTTCACCAAATTGGTCTAGAGTCCATCCAAGGTCCAATCCAGCCTTACTCCCATTCAACGCCCTCTGACCTTGCCATCCTAATGTTTACAAAGACACGATAATAACTGAAGCTAATGACTCACTGACTTTGCGCTCTGCTTGATCTAATGACACAGATGAATGTCTAATGCATGAGGAGCTGTGGAAAATTCAAAGACTGAAGAAGCCGCGAAACGAAGAAAAGCTTCCTTCTACTGACCAACAACAGGCCAGATCAAGCAACACTCGAGTCCATACTCCTACCGCAGCAACCACACTGAATGATCAGAGGCGATTAAATCTGAGGCTTTTTCGCGCGCTTGAGTCCAACGATCCCAGTCCTCAGGCACGCTATGATCATGACGTAAAGTTTCTACAGAGCCTGGTTGATGGCTTCTTCGATGTGAGTAAGGGCGGAGTAAAAGTGAAGCAAGTCATTCGCTAAAGCAAAAACACTGCGGAGGAAGAGACCAACATATGCGAGCAAATTTTGCTGACGAGGCAAGCCCAAAGCCAATACTGTGTCGGCTAGGTATATTGAGATGTGATAGGATGCAGATTCGCCCGGATACAGCTCTAGCTGACTGCGAGCGTATCAAGTGTGCCATCATCGAGCTAAAGCGGCGAATTGATGAGGAAGAAACAAACCTGCCTATTGTAAATTTTCGGGTAATTACATGACGATTACGAAATCGGATAATTCGGTCGCTCACACTTCGGGCTCGCACGGTAGTTTTTACCACAATGTGGTGTGTATCCTTTCCAAAGTATGTAGTCTTATGTACAAGCGAGATGAGCTGTGTCGTTGCTTTCGAGCGACCCGATGTAATGGAACTCGCAGAGACGTGGTTGAACGATGAGGTACTCACCCAGGAAGTTGAGCTTGGTGGTTACTCGTGCTTCCGCTGTGATAGGTTATCGTGTCCACGGTGGTTTTGCTCCACATCCGGTCTTCTATGTGTGTGGGAACTGTGAGCGTCCACCGAAGCGAAGATGGCCTACGTGAGCAGTTGTGCCGCTCGATCGCTCTCGGGTGCACAGAGCTGCGCGTGTGTGTATTTTATTGCAGTCCACACAAACACACGCCATTGAGGTCAGCTCCTAGCCATATCAGAAAGTGTATCCAGCCAAACGTGTTCATCGTCCTTCGGACCACAACCAGGGAGCCGAGACGTTCCAACCGAGGCCAGCTCAGAAGTGAGGGCCTTCATTCCTCTCGACCAAGTCATCGCTTGGCCACCCCTCCTCTTCTTCCATCCACACCCACGGCGCGCAAACAACGCACGTCGCGGAAGTCGGTGGGTTGTCATGTGTAGCACGTGGCCGAGCCATCGGAGCCTGGTGCGTGAAATAACGGTGCTGAGCGGTTCAGTTCCTTTTACAGTGCCGTAAACAAGGTGTCGAATACGCTCGTTGCTCATGCGGTGTTACCACCAGACGTGAGCTAAAATGCGAAGGCACCGGTGGTCGAACGTAACTAGCCTCTTCAGGTCCGCTGATTTAAGGGGACAGGTTTCAAAACCGTACAGTAAGGTCGAACGTACCGCTGCATTGTACACCACCCTTCAGGGCAAGAGTGATGTCGCGCCGCCGCGAAAGTTGGCAAAAGCGCCCCGAGCTTTTGCTATACGATTCGTGATCTCATCTTCAATCCCACGGGCGCTGATACAACTTCTCAGGTAGTTGAATTTTTGAACGACTTCTAGCTGATCCCCAACAAGGGTCAGCGAAGGAAGCGTCCCAGGCCAAGCTTGGAAGAAAGCTTTACACTTTGATGGTGCAAAGCAAAGCCCGAAGTGATGGACAGCCAGTGCTAATCCGTCTAGTGCTGCTTGGCACGTCTGCGAGCTGTCACAGATTAGGGCAATATCTACAGTTTACTCCAAGTCAAGAAGTCGTTCTCCTGGGAGCAGATCCACACCTTCTAAGTCGTGTTCTGTGAACGCGATTTCCATGACTTCGTCAATAGCGAAGTTGAAGAGGAAAGGTGACAGCGGGCATCCTTGTCTCACACCGCTGGAGATATTAAAGGGCGAAGACAGCTTGCCGTAAGCCCTCACTCTGCCTGGGCCACGTGCGTATAATGATCGGATAATTTTTACATGTTTCTAAGGTACACCTTTCCCGAGTAGACATTCCCAAATTGCACGACTATCCACCGAATCGAATGCACCTTTGATATCGAAGCACATGACAACGGCGGGCTGCCAATATATGTAGCCGTGCTCCAACAACTGACGCAAAGTGAAGATGTGGTCAATGCAACCACGATCTCGACGAAACCCGGCTTGCTCTTCACGAATCTGGCTTTCACAAGTGCCTGTCAGTCGGCAAACCGTCGCAACGAGACTGGAGCTTAACGTGATGCGACGGTTTGCGTACCTCATTGACCCATTGAGCTATACTGGGTGAGGCCTCCGAGCATCTTGAGAGCTACTCCTACCAGGTTGGTCAATGGTGAGAGGTCAGACAAACTCAGTCTCCTGGTCCTCCAGGTAGGGGGCTTGAAATGGGATGGCGTCCGCTTCTATAAAACTAAATCATTGCCACCTCGCCGCTGCCTTTCGGACAGGCTTTTGAGCCAAAGGCTTTGGATGAGGACCCTAATCGTTCTCCTGTCTAGGTCTGGGCGCCCTGGCAGTATCCCAGCCCACATACAACCATGACATTTTCTTCAAACATAAACTTCATCCTGCATCGGCCTTATCTGCTGTATACAGCAGGGCGGATAAGCAAAAACATGCTACTGATGGCGCCTCCTTTCTTTCTTTTCCACCTTTTTCTCTTACTCCCATCCCGGCCCCCATTACTAACCTTCCTTCTATAATTCCCAGCTTAATTGACAGCCACCGAAGTGCCACTGGAATAGAACCATCTA